TGATAAGCATGTTTAAAAAATTAATTTTTTTCAAATTTTATTAACATAATCAAATTTAACGTTAGAATCAAAAAAAAAATATTGTTGCGTCCATTTAACGCATTTTACGTTGTATTACAAGTTGAAATTCCCGTCAGTAAATTAACACATAGTAGGAATGCTTAGGCACTTATTTGAACGCATGTTACATTAGTCCTCTTTGATGATATGGTATCGTCAGTCTACAAACGATTTCTTCATTACACCACGTTCGGTACAGCCTGAAATAAATAATACAGTAAGTGTATGTTTTAAAATAAATAAAAAAAACTCACATTTCTTTCTAGTGTAAACCTTTTTTTTTTATTTTTTTTTTTTTAACTAAAAAATTCTTAATTCTTAAATNATGCTAACTCGAGACGCTTTTTAAATTCAGTTAAATCTTAAGAATGTTAATTTATACTTCAACTTTACATAAAAAAATCAGTAATCAAATTTTAAAAGAAAAAATTTTTTTTACAATATTAAATAATTTTCCTTTTATGCGCTAGGACAAAAAATTCTCGGTACATAATCTAGACTTACAATCTTTTATTAATTTACATATATTGACAAAAAATTCATCAAGATTCACACTGTACAAAAATATTTGTTTCAAGGTTTACATTAAAATTTTAATATTTAAAAGGTTCTTGTAAAAATAGTACCTCAGAACATTGAAACCGAATGGGAATGAAGTTAAGATAAGTTATTTTCTATTTTTCATGAGAAAATAAATTTGTACAAAATCATATACATTATCTAACGTGGTACAGATGCAAAATACTTGCATTAAAAGAATCGGTATAAAAAACACTAGCCTGGGTAACCCTTCCTTAAGTCTATATTATGCAAATTATTTAGTTGTTCACATGATTAACATTTATTGTTAAACAACACATTTTTAGTTTACATGATTACCAAATTATCATCAAAAATACATGATCTTGGAGAAAATTTGCAGTAACTCTTATAAAAACAAAAAAAAAAAAACAATAAAAATTCTGCAGATTAAAGTAATGTAAAATTATGCTGCGCAAGTTGTACAGTTTCCATGATGTCACAGGAAATTAATATACACCATTTTACTTAGAAAATAAAGTACTCTAGGAGGCACACAATTACATAAACTAAACGAAAAATGTATAAAGTAATTGAAATGCACAAATTGTTAAGTTTTGTAATGCTCTTTCAGTACTTATTTTTAGAATTGCACGCAATACTGAGATGATAATCCTCCTTAAATATTTTATTTTCTTATTGATCTCTTAATTATCTATTAGACCCTGTTCCAGTAGTTGATGCTACCAAAGCTCAAACTAGTTTAATCCGTACCAAAATATTTTTGTCCAAAGTGATTTGGTGCCACGGAGTGGATTTCCGATGTTAATATTTTCATCTAAAAGCCAACACATTTAAATTTGTGAAATTTTGTTCATTTTAAAGAATAGCCAAAGAATTACCTTAGGAAAAGCAGTGACTAGAGTTTTGGCTGCAAAAGGTGTGCAAAACAAGTTAGATAAGATGATATTTTCTTCTGGCACACTGTGCTCCTTAAGAACTGCTATTGCTTTTATCACAGTATTTCCAGTACCTATGTTAAAGTTATCAAAGTAATTAAAATCAGAAACATTGGAGTGTAAAGGAAATACACGCTTCAATTAAGTACAAACTCATAATAGGGTACATCAAGAGAACTTTTCTCTCGGCAATGTCATCTGGAAACTTGGCATAAACCACCCTAGCCTCGTGAGTATCTAGATCACTCTCAACTAAAATTTTGCCGATCCTGATGCTGCGACAGCAGTCCCGAAGGCCTTGCTCCATCGCCTCTCCGCTTCTTACGATGGAAACGCCGCAGTTTCCTTTCTGATACTTCAAACCCTTGTATTTGGCACCAGTTGGTGTCGTAATTACGCATTTTGTGAAGGGCAATTGATTCAAACTTTCCTCAATAACCAATCTTATCTAAAAATGTAAATAGGTTTTTTTAAGAGTCATCCTTCAGCACTCCGATTGTTCACTCCATAACACGAATCCTAAACAATCCAGAGCACCTCTGACCATTCTAATGCACGAGACCAAATATTAATTTTGTAATTTATTATCATTACGTTCACATAGGATGGAATCAGGGTGATCAGAGATAATCTGATGGTTAAAAATCTATGTCATGGAGGAAAAAATAATCGGAGAAGAATCATACAGTAAATTACCAAGCGATCAGCATAAAACTTGAAGTCACTTCTTGTGGTAGTTCTGTAAACAAATAACCTTGATTAGTACGAGAGCAACAAGGTAGCCTATATGCTTTAAAAGTAGCAGAAAAGTGATGAAAACTATAAAACCAAATAGCCGTATATAACATGCGAGGGTTAGATGAAGGTCAAGATGTGTATACTAAAAACGTTTTTTTTTCTTTAACACTCACTTGTCGCGTAAAATAGTCTGCAGTTCCTTCACTTGATCGTTCGTTGGCAAAATCTTTAAGTTTATGCCGTACTCATCTTCAAAGGAATCCTCTGCTTGAATATTATTTCCATTTTCGACAGCTAACTTTTTGACCACCTGATCAGCAGTACCCATTTTTTACACAAATTCCACTCGCGAGGGTAAATTTACCACAGTTTAACAGTAGCATTAAATTGTTATATGCTTTTATAACCTCAATTCGGATGTATTTTCTTGAACTTTGTGTTTTCTTTATGACTTCGCATCTATGTCTATAATCCTTGGTATTTTTCGGAGCAGAGCGTTTTGAATGGATATTATACTTACTCCTAAAAAATAGTAGTTTTCCTACGAGTTTGAAAAGTCTCCATTTTCGAACCGAGAGGTTTGCGGCCCGAGCCGAAGGCGAGGGACGTAACGAGGTTCGTAAAGGAGACTTTTCGAACAAGTTCCGGAAAACTGCTTTTTCGCCCGAGGAACTACCAGCCTCCCAAAACCACCCGAGTGCGGAAAAAATTGTTATTTTTCAGATTAGTAAAACATGTGTATTTTTTTAACGGGTTTTTGCAGTTTAATTCAACCAACTGCACTCCGAACCAGACCTTAATCGAACCGAAACTGATTGCAAGTGTAAGGAGCCGACTCCGATAAATGCATAATATATGCATGATACATATATAGATATACGACCTTGTCGCAACATCAATAATGATAATAGCGCTACCAAGCATACCGACCTCAAGAGTCAAGCAATATGCGCCAAAATTGAAATCTTTTATAGCAACGTAATAATAACCATAACACTAATTATAATGACAATAAAGACAATAAAATAATACAAAACAGACGATTCTAGAACATATCAATTAATATAAAAGGCTATGCAAAAAGCTCCCCATAATTACAAAAATTTTGGACCTTTGGGAGACGATACTTTACTTGTTTCAGAAGGAATCATCAAGCCCCTACTCACCTTCCTATACAGTCCTACACGCACGCCTACTTATACCTACCCCAACCCAACCAATGGGTGCACTCGCGGCACGTCAGCATTCAGCATCAGCAACAAAGTTAGCAACTCAGAAAATCACCACGACTCTATATACTTATTTACACATGTTATCAAATCAATGATTTGAAAAATTTGTTTGAAACTTTGGCAATTTTATGTTGTGTTAAAAGTACTATCTAGTCATGTGGGCAGACACAATTTTAATTTTATTTATTAGTGTTTGCACGGCCCTTTTGGGTGAAGGTAACAAAATCATTTTGCTAACTTTTACTTTACAAGTTGTAAAAAGAAGCTCCATGTTCAATGATTTTCTTTTTCTCAAGGCTTAACTTGGTTGATGGTGTATAGAACAGAAAAGTATCAAAAACTCAAAGCAGAGGTTGAAAAACAAAGTAAAAAATGTATGTTTGATTTTTTTTTTGAGTGATAATGTCCAAAATTGCTCAAAGCTTACACAAAGTGTCTTAAACTGATTGAAAATTTTTTGTACAGTGGAAAAACGGAAGGAAGCTCATGGAGATTCACTGGATAAACAGCAAAAAAAAAAAATTGAGAGAGAAGAAGAGAGACTAAAAAATAATAACAGAGATTTGTCCCTTGTCAAGATGAAATCTATGTTTGCCATTGGTTTTGCTTTCACTGCGCTATTGAGTATGTTTAATAATATATTTGATGGACGTATTGTAGCAAGACTACCATTTGTTCCCATCAGTTGGATTCAAGGTCTGTCCCACAGAAATTTACCAGGAGACGATTACACCGAGTGTTCTTTTATATTTTTATACATTCTCTGCACTATGAGTATAAGACAGGTATACGAATATATTCAATACTTGAATCATTAAGCATTTTAAAAAACAAGCAGAATTTTTTTTATTTTTTATAATCACTTTTTCTTTTAGAATATTCAAAAATTACTAGGCTTTGCACCATCAAGAACAGCAAGTAAACAAAGTGGAAGCATATTTGGACCACCACCGCAACAATTCAAGTAAAAATGTATCTGCCTATCTGATTTAAATGCTGAATGATTGGAACAATGGTGAATGAAAGTTAAAGAAAAAAATAAAGAA